TTATCCGTGTGTGAATGTTCCTCTCCAGTTGCTCCCTGCTCCCTGCCTCTTGGAGCAAATTCGGGTTTGGCTTCCTCGGTGTCACTGCGCCCCTCAGCCTCTAAGGAGGGTGCTGATGGTCAGAATCATCCTTAGGCGAGTGGGATGCAGAATTAGGAGGAAAGAGAAGAAAAAGGATCAGGGGCGAGACTAAAAGGGGAGGGAGGTTTGAGAGCAGCAAGAATGTGTGAGCGAGGAGAGGGAGTGAAAGATTTAAGGAGCATCACTGTGATCTACAAATCCATTTGTTAGGGTTAAGGAACTCAAGTACACTGAGTTATTTTGAAATGACTATTTATTGGTTGCCATCTTGGATGATAGCTCTGGACCACTGGGTGATGACCTGGTAAGTGGCAGGTGCTTGGCACACAGTAGGCACCACGGCTGGTGCTGTGTCTGCTCAATGATGGAGGGTGCTTGTGTGTTCGGTCTCCATATCAGACTGGGTGCGGGTGTGATCACTTTGGCCTGGGAGCTACCAGAGGGCTGGAACTGTACTTTGCCTCCCCACCCCCACCCCCATTAGACTGGGGGCTCCTTGAGGACAGGCACTTTGCATTCTTCATTAGACCAGTGACTCCCCGTGTGGGCGGTGTGCTTCCACCCCTAGGTCCCAGGACAGGGTCCTGCTCACAGTGTGTGTCATATCTCTAGTAGCCTGACTAAGGGCCTGACCCTGTCTGGGTGGGAGGTGAAGGTGGAGGGAGGAAGCGGGGAGAGGTCAGGGCCCAAGCTGTTTTCTTCTGCCATGTGCTACCCAAGAAGCGAAAGAAAAGAGTAACAGAGAAAGCATCCTGCCGCAGCCCAGCCCCAGAGCTAAACATTCATCCTTAAGAATGAAAAGCTCTTCTTCCCGCCCAGTGGGTTCCCATAAACCCAGGTGTGCTCTGTCTGGTCCTCCTCACTCTGTCTCATGGGGCGGGACCAAGGCTGAGCCAAGCCAAGGCCGTGTCTCGTGGAGCTGAACGTGTCTGCTCGCATTTGGCAAAGCGGCGGGGTTGGGGGCGGAGGTCATGATGACAACAGCGCAGAAACTCCTGCGAGAAAAGAACAAGGTGTTTACCCCGCGGACAAGTTGGGATCTGTCTGTTTGGGTCATGGCTTGGTTTTTGTGTCTCAGCCTGGCAGTTGCTTCAGGCTTTCCACAATCTGGGTTGGTTTGCTGCAATTCGATTAGATTCCATCATTTCCTGCGTGCCTACTGTGTGCCAGCCACCGTGCTGGGTACCGGAGGGCCCCTGAGGGGCGAGATCAGGATGTTGCCTTTAAGGAATCCTTCTCGCCCAGAGGGACAGAGGTGTGCACAGCTCTCTCTGTTGCAGAGACTGGAGCTACCACAGATGTGTGAACAGGTGTCAGGGAGGCACAGAAGATAAGACAATGAATCTTCTGGAGGTTTGGAGAAGCCTTTTTTATAAAAATAATGTATTTTTATTGATTTCAGAGAGGAAGGTAGAGGGAGAGAGAGAGAAACATCAATGATGAGAATCATTGATCGCCGCCTCCTGCACGTCCCTACTGAGGATCGTCGAGCCTGCAACCTGCGTATGTGCCTGGACCAGGAATCGAACTGTGACCTCCTGGTTCATAGGTCAACGTTCAACCTCTGAGCCACACTGGCCAGGCTTGGAGAAACCTTTGTAAATGTGGGAATGTCTGATTTGAAACTTGAAGACCAAGCAGGCACTCAAGAAGTGGCTGAGTGCCCTAGCTGGTTTGGCTCAGTGGATAGAGCATCGGCCTGTGGACTGAAGGGTTCTGGGTTTGATTCTGGTCAAGGGCACATGCCTGGGTTTCAGGAGACAGCCGATCAATGATTCTCTCCCATCATTGATGTTTCTGAGTCTCTCTCCCTCTCCTTTCCTCTCTGAAATAAATAAAAAAATATTTTTAAAGAAAGAAAGAAAAGAAATGGCTGAGAGGTGAGGTGGAAATAGCATGAACAAAGTGGGGGCATGGCGAGTAGCTCAGTATGAAGTGTGTGTGGGGGGGATAGTGATTAGCATTTATTGAGCACCTACTGATCACCCGGTTCTGTGCTAGGTGCTTTGCCCGTATAGTATCTCATTTAATCCCCTCAGTAATGTAAGGAGGTGGGTATTGGTGAAGAAACTAACATTTGCAGAGAACAGATGGCTCTGCACCAGCATCTGAACCAGGCTTGTCTGACTCCAAATTCCATGCTCTTTTTACTAGACCAGTGGTTTCCTGAATATATTCTATGAAACTTTTAGGACTCTGAGAAGGGGCTTTAGGGACACGTCTGATTTTAGCTTCGTATTTAAAATGTGTTTTAATCAACACACACGCTCAAACCTTGTTATGTAATAAAGAAAAGTTTTCCTTCCATCTCTGTGCATATTTCTGAATTTATTGTAAATGTGTCACTGATTAAAAAGACTGCACAGTCTGCTTGGGTTTATCCGTGGAAAACAGGGATAGAGCACACACCCCTGCCAGCCGCCCTCCATCACGAGGCCAGTGGGACTTCTGTGCACCGTGGACAATTAAATGCACGGGGTTTTATCTCTTCTTTCTCTGGAAATGTCTTAGGAATAAATAATACACGTATAAATCTTTGGGGGGAGGGGGTTGAGCCCTAGCCAGTTTTGCTAGAGCGTCAGCCAGTGGACTGAAAGGTCACGGGTTCGATTCCGGTCAAGGGCATGTTCCTTGGTTGCAGGTTTGATCTCCGGCCCTGGTCGGGGCTCATGTGGAAGGCAACCAATCAATGTCTCTCTCTCTCACATCGATGTTTCCTCTCTCTCTGTCTCTTCCCCTCGCTTCCCCTCTCTCTAAGAATCAATGGAAAAAAATATCCTTGGGTGAGGATTAACCAAAATAAAGGGGGGCGGGGTTTGAGGGTAGGGCATCTGTGGACCAGAGGAATTTCAACAAGTTTTTGGAGGAGCTTGGGGTTTGAAGGAGGAGTGGTGACGGAGGAAGCAGGACAGAGGGAGTTGCAGTCTGTAATGCACAGGGCAGGGTCTGCAGCCAAGGCGGGAGCTGGTCTGCTCACAGCCGCTTGAGCCTTGGATATGCTGGGTGCAGTGGAGGGTGGAAGGGAATATGGGGCTGGAAATGGGGGCTTAGTTGAAAGTCTACAAATAGAATCATAAACCTCCCTCACCCTTGTATACAGAGTGTTGAGATATGACCCTTTACCGCCCTTTCCCCCTAAAATGGAGGGTCTCTGAAGACATTAAACTGTCTAAACAAGAGTAGGAGCTCTGGGCTTTAAGGTGGCCTCCTAGACTATAAAACACGCTGCAGGCTGACATTTAGAAGTTCCAAAGCACAAAGATCAGCTCCGTCTGAAACAAAGCCTGCCATTCATCTCTTATCTGTGTACACAAAGCCTCCAGAATACTTGTACTGCCTTATTCCAAAAGATGAATGGGCAACCATAAGCCAGAAGCTATTTGAAGAAACCTGAAATATGAGATAGAAAGACTGAGATAAACAAACGGAAAGTAAGACCCCTGAGGAAACAGGAACAGTTTATAGGTAAGAGAGAACTTAAAGGCACTGGATCTGTGAGACAAGGTTATGAAAAAGAAACAAGTAGAGAACAAAAAAGCCCCTGGCCATAAAAAATATAATGAAAACTCGGTGGACATGTTGGACATTAAAGTAATCACCCAGAAAATAAAGCAAACTATGAAAGAAAGAAAATTTTATCAGAAAAAACATAAGAGATGACAGAAAATAAAACTACAACAGAGGTCCATTTTCAATTAATAAGTATTTTAGGAAAAAAGAGAGAAAGCAGGGGAGATAATTTTCAAATAAACAATTAAACAGAATTTTCCAGACCAAAAAGATTCGTCTTCAGACTAATAGAGCACCTCAAGCCCCCAACATAAAGAAAACACAAAATATCCAGGGACATGAGAAGACATCTCCTAAAAGTTTCCAAAGAGAGAAAAAAAAAAATCACCTATAAAATAATAAAAACCAGATTTCTTACCAGCAGTGCTGGATGCCAAAAGACAATGGAAAAATAGCTTCAAAATTCTGATGGAAAATGACTTTTAATTTAGAATTCAATACCCAGATGAACCGTTTGGTACTAGGCCAGATCAAAGACATTTGTAGATCCATAAGGACTCAGTAAGTTTACTTCTCACATATTCTTTTTTTGGGAAGTTATTTGAAGACGTGCTGCATAAAACAAGGAAGCAACCAAGACAGGGGAAAACATGGGATTTTTGTCAGCTTGTCCCTTAGCTTGGTGTGCAGTTTTACTAATGACTTTGTGTATTTTGGGTGTGTTTTTTCCTTTGTTAGGTTTAGGTACCAGGATTATGTTCGCTCTGTAAAATGAACAAAATGTTCTATGTTTTTATTATCTGAAAGTGTTTGCACAGGGAATAATCTCTTTCCTCAAGGTTCACCCAAAAGAATAAAACAAAACAAATCAACCCATTTAGATCTTTTTTTTTTTTTTTTTAAAAAAAGGCAAGCAATTCTTTGACAATATTTTCTGTGTTTTCTTTCATCATTGTTTTGTGACCTTGTGGCAGGTCATTCTGCTGCCCAACATTCATTCTTATTCTTCCTTTGTTTGAAATAATCCAATGTGCCAACTTAGAAATTACATTTCATAGGCTCTCTTGCAGCGGTGGGGGTGGGGGGCAAGTGTCACAGTTCTGGCCATCGAGGACACACACGTGTACTGAATGGAGTTTCCAGAAAAGGGACTTAGCTGTCCCTTTTCCCTTCCTCCTGCCCAGAATGTAAATAGGACGCCTAGAAGTGGAGGAGGGAAAAAATCCTATGGGCATGAGGACAAAACCCACTTGCTAATGCTGGTGCAACAGAAAGCCAGAGGGAGCGTTGGTCCTGGGTGGCATCAACCCAGCACTGCTTCCCTCTGCATTTCCTGTTTCGTAAGAAAAAATATGTCCCTTATTAGTGTGATTACCAATTATTTAATTTTCTGCCTTTCTTCCCCCCAGCAAATTCACCTTCGATGACGCAACCTTTAACCTCAGAGCTGCTTGCTGGAACAGAAGCTTTTCGATTCTGTGAAAAGGTGTTGAGCACATTGAAGGCCGTCATGAAGCTCTGAGTCCTCTCCCCCTCCTCCTATCAGCCCATGAAACAGGAACTTACACCCTCTTGGAAGCACTGGGGAGAAAGCAGTCCACTTTTTTTTTTTTAATATATTTTATTGATTTTTTACAGAGAGGAAGGGAGAGAGATAGAGAGTTAGAAACATCGATGAGAGAGAAACATAGATCAGCTGCCTCCTGCACATCTCCCACTGGGGATGTGCCCGCAACCCAGGTACATGCCCTTGACCGGAATCGAACCTGGGACCTTTCAGTCCGCAGGCCGACGCTCTATCCACTGAGCCAAACCGGTTTTGGCTCAGTCCACTTTTTGGCACCGCCTCCCTGGGTCCTCCCTGGGAGAGGAGGTACCGAGTACGCACTGCCCAGCCCCCTCCTGGCTCTCTCTCTGGGACTGACCTGACCCATGTGCTCTCGCTGCTCCTGCCTCCTCTAGGCAGTGAACACAGGGCAGCCTTCAGTCGTCCAGCTGCTCTGCTGTGAGTGGGCGGGGGTGGGGGGTGGGGGGTGTGGAAGGGGTGGGGGGTAGGGTGGGGGCCAAATCAAGGGAGAAGCAAAAGGAAGCCCGTTTGGGCCTTGGGTCTAAGCCACATCCTCCAATCCATCTGGGCCAGCAATACAGCTGACATTTTAATCCCTCCTTGTCTCCGGTGACTATTTCTCAGTTGGACCAGAACTTGGAGAAGCGAGGGGTGTGATTAGCACCTGCAAACCCCAACATCTGCTGAATACGTACCCCCCGTGGGAAAAGCCACCGTGAGAGGAAAACAGAAGTTTAAAGTTTTGGTGATTATTAGACAGTACTTCTCTGTACCTAACTGATTCTATGTCTTTTCATCTCACAATAAAATGCGTATCACGTTGTGTGTTTTTTTCCTAGATAAGAGCCTGGATTGAGAGCGAGGAGGTTCTTCTAGGCTTCACTACCACTATTTCGCTCTGGGGCTTGAGTTTTCAGGACTTCAATCTTATCAGTTATAAAATGAGTGGGTTAGACTAGAACCAGTGGTTCTCAACCTTCTGGCCCTTTAAATACAGTTCCTCATGTTGTGACCCAACCATAAAATTATTTTCGTTGCTACTTCATAACTGTAATGTTGCTACCATTATGAACCGTAATGTAAATATCTGGTATGCAGGATGGTCTTAGGCGACCCCTGTGAAAGGGTCGTTCGACCGCCAAAGGGGTCGCAACCCACAGGTTGAGAACCTCTGGACTAGATGATGGAGAGGGGCCATCCCAAGCTTTGATAGTCTTTCAATCACTCCACACGCTTGTACCACGTAGCTAGTACATGTTGAGCCTGTGCCGGCGGCTGGTTATATAATATTGTACAAAACAAACATGACCTCACCAACCTGGAGTTCAGAGTCCAGTGGCCGAGAGGGACATCAAATAAACACATAAACAGATCTCTAATTACATTTCACTCTCTAGTTTAATAAAATGCTCATCGGTGAGCGGGAGGGTTGTGCGTAGCCTTCCTACTAGTCCTCGCTCACCCACACCGAGGGAAAGCCTTGCTGGTTGGTCCAACAGCCACGCATGGTGGTGCCACTGAGTCAGAGCCACGTGCTCAGAGAGGCATAACAGGGAAGCTTTCAAAGGGCTGGCCTTTCGGATTGCAAACAGGTTAAACATAATAATAACACGCTTGCTATAAAGATTCGAGCACTGCAGAAAACAACACATTAAAAAGAAAATCTCTTTTCCTTTTCCCCTCCAAGCTCCCTTGGAAATAGAAACAATGGCTAGATGCCTGTCCTTTTAGCGGCCTGCGTACTCAACTGCAGGCTCCAGGAGGGCGGGGATAGGACCTGCCCGGTTCATTGCAGTATCCCTCGTGGGAGCTCAGTAACCATTTGTTGACTGAATACATGAATAAGTAATAATCGCACATAAAGGCTCAGAGGAAGTTTTTTTAAGATCAAAAAAGGAGATCATGGTTTTTTTTGTACCTTGCATATATATATATATGTTGATTTCAGGGAGGAAGGAAGAGGGAGAGAGAGAGAAAAACATCAATGATGAGAGCAAATCATTGATCGGCTGCCTCCTGCATGCCCCCTATTGGGGATCAAGTCCATAACCCGGGCATGTGCCCTGACCTGGAATCGAACCCATGACCTCCTGGTTCATAGGTTGACACTCAACCACTGAGCCACACCAGCCAGGCTACGTTGCTTTTTTTTTTTTAACTTAAAAATCCAGCCCTAGCTAGATTGGCTCAGTAGATAGAGTGTCAGCCTGTGGACTGAAAGGTCCTAGGTTCAGTTCTGATCAAGGGCATGTACCTCGGTTGCAGGCTCCTCCCCAGCCTGGGCCCTGGTCAGGGCCCATGCAGGAGGCAACCAATCGATGTGTTTCTCTCACAACGATATTTTTCTCGGTCTTTCCCTTTCTTTTCCACTCTCTAAAAATCAATGGAAAAATATCCTCGAGTGAGGATTTAAAAAAAAAAAAATCCACAACAGACATCCTCCTATGTATCAATGTCTAATTTGTCCATTCTGCTTGTTTTAGGTTGGATTGTTCCCCACACCCCACGCCCAAAAGATACGCTGCCGTCCTAACCCCTGGTCCCTGTGCCTGTGGCCTTATTTGGAGACAGGATCTTTGCAGATGCGATTGAGTTCGTGTCTGATTAGGGTGGGCCCTCATCCAACAGGACTGGTGTCTTTAAAAGAAGACAAGAGATGGCGACACAGGAGAATGCCACGTGAGGAGAGAGGCGGAGCCTGGCACCACGAGCCAAGGACCACCAAGGATTGGTGGGCAGCGCCGGAAGCTGGGAGAAGGCAAGGAAGGATTCTACCCAGAGTCTCAGAGGGAGCCTGGTCCCGGCTGACCTTCCAGCCTCCAGAATCGTGAGACAATGAATTTCTGTTGCTTTAGGCCCCCCAGTGTGTGGCATTCGGGACAGCCGCCCCAGGAAACAAATATATTCCCCTAAAAGGCTGTTCAGGTTGCTTCCAATGTCGAGCTGTTATAATAATGAAGTCTGAGCAGTGTGGCTGGGCCTGGCCGGTCCGGAAACCCCTGGGGACAATCATGGACCCAGCCGTGGTGCCTCAGCCTCCGCTCGTACCTTGGCAGGGTTGCCAGACAAAACACCAGACGCCCGTGTCATATTTGGGACATATCTAGTCTAAAAAAAAAATCCTTTGTTGCTTAGTTGAAATTCAAATTTAACCAGGCCACCGTGTTTTGATTTGCTAAATCTGGCAACCCTGACTCTCAGGTTTCCCAACTGTAATCCCAGACAGTGGGGTTGTGGGCCACCCGCCCTGTACCCGAAGGCGGGCAAACACCCTGGTTTTCTGCAGCAGCTCTGCAAGGTCTCTCCTCGTCCCGGGCCCCTGCCTCTCCCCTAGCACCTAACTGTTGTTAGTACCACCTAGATGCCCTGCAGTGCCTCCTCCCCGGCCCCAGCCAAGCCAAACCTCTCCTGCCCACATCAGACGCGACGTGCTCATCCACTCCACCCCACTTTAAACTGGCCCTGCATGTCCATCCCCCTCCAGCCTGTCCTCCCGGTTAACCCGCCCTGGGCTTGGACAAGACAGATGTGGGCCCGGCCCTTTAGGGAACTAGCTAATCAGTTCCAGGTGTTCCGAGTGAGAAGGGAGAAGGAAGAGAGCTATGAGAGTCTGTGACAGCTGTGAGGAGGGTCTCCCAAACTTTGCTTAAAAAAATCACCTGGGGGGAGGGGAGTTGGTGAAAATGTTATTTCTGGTCAGAATCAGAAATCTCCAGGGAGGGGACCTGACCTCGTCTGGAGGCGCAGGGAAGGCCTCTGCAGGGAGGTGATGTCCAAGCTGAGGCTGAAAGCTCAGGAGTTAGGGGAGGCTTTGGGAGGCTGGATACGGGCTTGAGATGACTACAGCCCCGGGCAATACCTTGATTTCAGCCTGAGAGACCCTGAAATACAGGAGCCAGCTCAGCTGCTGTACCTGGATTCATGACCTGCAGGATCTGGGAGATAATAAACGTTGTTTTAAGGCACGTAAGTGTTAGGGTTATCAGCAGCAATAGGGAACTAATACAAAATACAATTTGGAAAAGGCCAGGCGTACTTGTCATTATCTAAATACACACTGACCGGCCAGATTATTGTGACCACCCCATCAGTACTTCGTTGGGTCACCTTTTGCCTTCAATACTGCGGCGATTCTTCTTGGCATTGACTCCACGAGATGTTGAAAGGTGATGCGAGGAATCTGACACCATGCCTGATGAATAGCCCTGTCCAGTTCTGTGAGATCTGATGGTTGTGGAACCAGCTGCCTGATGGCTCTTTTAACTTCGTCCCACAAATGCTCAATTGGATTGAGATCTGGTGATGGTGGGGGCCACCTAAGCAAGGTAAAGTCTCCCTCATGTTCTTGAAAGCACTCCTGCACAATACAAGCACCGTGGCATGGCGCATTGTCTTGTTGGAAGAAGCCATCTCCATTGGGATACGCCATCAACATGATAGGATGAACTTGATCAGCAATGATACTTAGGTATGTTGTGCTATTCAGACGTTTATAATGATCTGGCCCTCTAGCAACTTCAGCGCGCAATTAGAGCTAATTTGCCTACAAACGTCAGGTGGTCATAATAATCTGGCCACTCGGTGTATATTCCTGTAAGTTGAAATCACGGCAGGCATACTAATTTTGAAGTCTTCTTTTGATCCCTTATCCATATGGGGAAGATATTGTACATCAGGGTCCATGCCTGTGTATGTGTCCGTCAGGGTCCATCAGAAAACGGAACCCACCCCAGCTGTCTTTACAGCATTTAATATGAAGAATTGTAGCACAGAGCAGGGTGAAAGGTGAAAACCACTGGTAGCCAATCGTCAAAATCCCTCTCAGAAAATCCTGTAGATCAGTAGGACCCGGAGCCTTGGAAACTCAAAAGCCATGAATTATTTCATTAGATATTGTTGTGATTGTTGCATTTAAGCTTTTCTCCCATTTCTTTGAGGGCAGTGGAGCTTCAGAGTCTATTTTGAACGTGAACAGAATCCCCCCCCCCCCCCCCCCCGATAAACACTCTTCGTTGAATTAGCTGGTTAGGTGGGAGTGCGAGGGTGACACATCGTCTGAAAGCATTTCCCCGTTCCCATCAGGTCCTGCAGCTGTGGGTCGCCAGGCCTCTTGCCCATTGTGTTGATGTCTTCGTTTACTCGAGCACGTCCCTCGTCTGGTTCCCAGTGCTTGACCTTTAAAGAAAGACTTCAGTGCATTCATCTGTGCAGATAACAGTTGGCTTCCGTTGGAATTATTTCCTTGGAATAAGTTCCCAGGAACGAAATGATTGGGTCAAAGGAAGAGGAGCAGCTTTATGGGTGTTGCTGGGAATGGCTTTATTGCTTCCAAAGGAGCAAAGCCAACTCAATAGCAACAATTTAGGGCATCTGAGGGGGCAGCTTCAGGGCAACCAGTTATTTACTCTTAGGAAATCAGCTTCGAGGCCCTTCCAAAATGTCCTGAAAGGGCTCGGAGATGAGGGAAGTGGGGTCCAGCCTGGAGTCCTGGGCTGAGAAGTGGGAGGTCTGAAGGTCTAATGCCAAGGTCACGGAGCGAGCAGCGAGCAGCGAACAGCATCAACTATGGACAGCCGGTCCTGAGTTCCGATTCTGGCCTTGTTACTTAGTCCTTCTGAGGCATTTGCTCGGTCATCTAGAAAACAGGAACTATAGAAACATGGAACCTCGCAGAGGTGAGATGAAGATTAAATGAGTGATCACATGGTAAGTGATTCTATTGGCCCGTGGACAGCACATGGTAAACCCTGAATAAGCATTAGAGCGAGTGTTCACCGCCATTCCCTCATTTAGCGCCTGAGTCTTGGTTTCCACCTCTCAGTCCTGTTTTGCCAGCGGCCGACCATCTCTTCCTCTGTGTTCCTGCACAGCCCTCCACCCAGGCGCCTCAGTTTCCCCTGTGGACCCTTTGTCTCTCTGACACCAAAGAGGTGGTAATCTCGGCTTTGAGACACCAAGTCAGATGGTCTGTGGATGCCCCCTTGTGGACAACCTGCCTTCTTTTGTTCTCCCCCAGCTAAGGGGAAAACCAGCTTTGCACTTGGGAGGGGCCAGGTGTGTGTGTGTGTGTGTGTGTGTGTGTGTGTGTGTGTGTGTTGGGGGTGGGGGAGGCTTCTGTTTCTGCAGATAAAACAGGAAATAGCACGTTCTGGCATCCTCCTCACTCCCTGGTCTATGTGTCTCTAAACATTTGTACACGTACATGGTTGGGTGCTGATGTGCTGGTTTGCGTGTCTACATGTGTGCATACATGTGATGCCACTTTTCTTGTCACAGGGGCGTCATGCGGCTCCGCTGAGACTCTGTGTTTTGAGAAATGGAAGCAGGGTGTGCTGTGAGGCTCTTGCTATGTGTAGTAGCATGTATGATCATCATGCTGTACTCAGCTTCTCCAGTCACTCATTTGAATATTCAGTCCCACACATTTTAATTGAGTGCCTGCTCTGTGCTCTGTGTCCTGAGGTCTGGAGAGGCAAGAGTGAGAAAGACAGAGTCTGTTCCCTGCCCTCCCCCAGTCCAGTGGGCGAGAGAGACAAGCGAGGGAACCACCGCAGGACAGGGAGTGGTGAGGATGCCGAGGAAGGCTGCCTGGAGGAGGTGGCCCCGGAGCTGAGCCATGAACCGGTGGGTGCTCTGGCCGCTTCCGGCTTTGAGGCAGAGGGGTTGGGGCAAAGAGCCCTGGTGGGGTTTGGAACGAGACTTTTAACCCCAACTCCCTGAGCAGGTCCCTTTCTTTGGGTCTGTTTCCTACCGGCTTAAACCAGAAGGGCTGGCCATGATGCTTAGGGTTTCTACGGACTTTGATGTTTTCTGATCTTTTCTTTCCTTGGCCCGAGGCATTCTCTTTCCTTCCACTCTTCGTCATACTCCACCCCCTCCCCTGAAGAAATGAAAACCAGATGGAGTGTTGGAAAGCACAACAACACTCATGTACTCATGTAGGACGTGAGCGTGCCTGTGGACACGCACACAGGCACGCACACACGCGGTCCTCCATCCCCGCCCCTGTCCGGCTCGAAACCCCCAGCTGCCTCCCAGGTCGGAGGTGGCCTGACGAAGGAGGAGTGGGAGGAAGGGGACCTCTCAGCAGACCAAGATGCTTCCACGCTTGGCTGCTTGGGCAGGTCACCTAGCTTCCCAGCTGGGTACCCACCTGGCGGGGCTTGTATGATGATCAGAGGTGACTTATGCGAAGTGCTCCCCACTCTCTGGGGCACGTAGTGGGCTTTCAGAAAATGGGAGCTAAAAGCAATTGCATGAAAAAATGTCTGGTGTGAGTCGGACACTTGTCTCTGCAGGGGGGAAGGTGTTGACTGGAACTCCAACCTTCCTGGTGACAATAATCCAGGGGAGGATGTCAGACATGCACCCAACGCGCTCCAGCTGGCTGTGCACTCTGGTTTCAGTTAGAATGCAGCTTATGCCCGGCCGGCGTGGCTCAGGGGTTGAGCATCAAGCTATGAACTAGGAGGTCACGGTTCAATTCCCGGCCAAGGCACATGTGAGGGTTGTGGCTCCATCCCCAGTACAGGGTGTGCAGGAGACAGCTTATCAATGATTCTCTCTCATCACTGACATTTCTATCTCTCTCTCCCTCTCCTTTCCTCTCTGAAACCGATAAAAACATATTTTAAAAAAGAATGCAGCTTATTAACTGGTTAACTTTGGCCAAGTCACTTAACCTTTCTAAGCCTCAGATTCTCATCTATGAAATGGGGACTTGACAGTAGCTCCCATGTACAATTGCTGCGAGGATTAACTGCGATAACGAATGTAAAAGCACTTAGTGTAGTTCCTGGCATATAAGAAGTGCTCAGTAAATCGGCAGTTACTTGTATTGGTCAGTGTAGGCTAACGGGTGTAACAAATAGGCCCAAGAATGAGCAATGGCTTAGAGATGATAGAAGGTTGTTTCTTGTTCCTGTCATGGTCTCAGGAAATACCAGTGGGGCTCATTCAGAGACCAGGTTGCTGACAGCTGTGCCATCCTCAACATGTGGCTTCCAAGGCCATTTTGGAATGTCAAGATAAGGGGTGGGAATTTGGAGTCATGCGTGGCCTTTCTGCAATGGGGTCCAGGGGAATGTGTAGTCATGGAGATAAAGGAGTGAGAGACGGGGGAGGAGGAGGCTAGGAAAGAGAAAGAGAAGGGTGTGTGGGGGGGAAGTCTGGGGTTCGTGGAGGAGAGAATAGAAGAAACAGAGAGGGGAAGGAAGGAGTCTTTGATTGACCGCTTCTCCATCCTTCTCCCAGGAGCCCTCAGATCCCCCATTTGTCA